AAAAGGGGTCCCTCCCAGCTTTCAACCTAAAATCAGACAACAACAAATTTCACCCTACTACATCTTACAAATAGGCTTGGCCAAGGGCGTTTTTTCAACAACATATCTGGCCGTACCTGGACGCAATAGGCGGCATGATCCTCAAGCTTTAGTCGGCCTCGTGCACGAGTCTCGAAATGAAAAGATCACTATATTCGCTTGTTAGCACGACAGAGTCAATATTGAACATCATTAGAATCGACAAGACACGTTAAAGAATATTGCACTTGGGAGAGGAGGGGAATTTGGTGAGGGAAGTCTCGGACTTGAACAGTGCAACAGCATTCCAACATAAAGTACCTATGGGTCTAGCCTGTCCCCCAAAATTAGCCAAACTGGAAACAGCCAGACTAATAGAGATACGTGCAGATATGAACCAGTCCGTGTGGCTGGCGAAATCTCGGAGTGTGAACACATGATTGGCCACCATATCGGGTGACTGAGCTTGGATATGCGTTGCAAGACTGGGTTATCAGTGATAAAGCCTGCCGTGTATCGGGTGAGGCGCTCCGAACGAGCCGAACCATGAGTCGCTGCCCGCACCCCCGCATTTGAAATATCGTGGAAGTTTAGAGTCCCGTTCGTATCAGTGTAGGGTTCGTACAAGCGAATCTCTGCGTGAACTGAAGGCACCCTCTCCGTCTGTCCGTATGTTGCTGCTCATATTGCAACTATTTGGGAATATGAACATTGAAATACCTGCTGGGTTATCCCTAGGGCAACCATCAGCATGATTTTAACAGCTTCCTAAAAGGGGCGGGATACGGAGATCGACTCCTAGTACGGCATTTGTTTTCGGGATCTTCAGCTACCAACGAGCACGTGACGTCTGTCTTGGAGATGGTGGTACGGCTTACATAATTTGGAAATATTATGTAACCGCATTATCGTTAAACCGGGTAGACGTGACAGACCGGGGCGGACCGGGACCAAGACAGGGGCCGATATTCCAATTCATTGCAATGTCTCACTCATCAGGTACCAGTACCAATAGGGTTGTGGTTCTCGATGGATGTGGAGATTAGCTCGTCGCTGTCATGGTCTTACCAACGGCCTGCTTCGAATTGCAAAGGTCCCAAGAAAACCCCCGACGTTGTGTATTAGGAGGATTTGCGATGAGATCCGCCGTCTGTCCGAAGGGCCCAAGAGTTGAAATGTCCCGAGATACAATGGCGTGCGACGCTTGAATGTGAATCAAATCTTGGGGGCTCACATAGCGTCTCTTTAACGCCTAAATACAGAGTTGGCGGGTCAGTCTGTGACAACCCCTGTATCTATTTCTCCCCACAAGCTGACGCTGAGATACATAGTGCACAGAGTGGACCTCTTTCAACATTACTTGGGCATCTAGGTGAAGGACGAGTTTTGAGGCTCCCGTATCTGTTGGTGACAGGGTTGAGATTAGAAGGATGTCGTGCACCGTGTGGTTGAGGAACTGATAGGAACTTTGTAGCATCCCATGCTAGAATCAATCACCCTGTCTACTACATGTACCTATTGACCCCTCCTCCAGGTATTTTTTTTTCTATTTCCGTCAACAAACGCGTCAAGCCTTCTCTCTTTTCTCCTCATAATAGATTCGAACTTGTCCAAAAATTGCGATAATTTTTCAACATGCTTAGATGCGAAGGTTACCAGCTATCGATCAACTCATCATGGTCCCATGGCTTGCCATAGGTTTCCTAGAACGCCATTGCAAGGGAGTCGTTCTACCAAAGCTTGCCATTTTACACACAGCCTCCTCATTGACTACGCCCAGCGCAACTACCGTGCAGCTACCTGCAATCCGAAACCCTTGTCAATGCAGGTAGTAGGTCTCCAGTGTTTCTCAAGGTGAGGCGTTAGCTTTGCAGTTGTCAATGGTCTCTACCTTGGTACCTGGCGAAAGTTTCCCGAGAATGCGTCATTATGCTAGTCGAATCTCTGCCCTAAAGCGCACAAGTAGAAGGGCTAAAACTATAAAAGGCATTTGCTTCTCTATAGTAACTGGTCGTTGTAGGGCCCTAGAATTAACACACCTGTCTGCCTTTTCAAGTTCGTCTGGCGAGGAAGTTTACTTAGAAAGATTCATCCAACACCAGGTAACGTCGTCGCTCTTGTATCCTATCCTTGTCATATTCTCATCTTGTTAATACCGTGTCTGGATTATCACTCACCTCAAACCTTAAGCAGTTTATACTTGTCCTAGTCATCATGTCGGACCAAAACCAACATCATGCCTCGTCGACCGACACGTCTCTTAAAGGCGCTTTCTCCACCATGAGGTGCAGCATTCGCGACGCGCTAAAGAAACCGAAGGAAGGAAGCGGCAATTCGAGACCGAGACATGGTAAAGGAAGGGGAAGAGAATTCATGACATACCAACCCATTTCACCACCCCAACCTTCAGCTGGAGACAACGACGGAGAGAGGAGAGCTGAGACATCTGGCTGATAGCAAGTCTGAAGCTTCATCAGATATCTGTGGCAACCGGGGCTGTCTCATGTAATCGCCATTTTCATTGCATACATAGAGCGTTCCCCGTAGCTGGCATGAATGTACATCTCCAAGAAATTACACCAAAGGAACAGGTACATAAAACACGATCAAAAATTTACCATCAATTTCAATTACGAATGTGTTTATACGCCAATAAGTAGTAAGTTCTAGATATTTTCTGCCGCTATCTCAGAGAATACGCTGCTATAAATTAGTCTGATGGGTGTTAAGAAGAGTATATTAATACCTCGAGTACCTAAGTTGCTAGAAACGGACGAAACTTCACCTTAACTGGGTACAGTCAATGAGAAAAGGGGGAAGATTATAGGCTAAGGTTACCAGAACATGTCATTACTCTTCGCTTTGTGGTTGAGTATATTACAAGGACTCAGCGTCAACTCCATACCCTAGTAGGGTCACATGCGTTGATATCCATTGCCATTCTTATCTCCAGTGTGTAGGTGACGAGACCTGCGGTGAGAATATAAAATAGATATCCGCCTGAAGCGACTAAAACAAAATGGCTCTCTAGTTCTCTAGGTTAGGATATTCCAGATTGTATATGCTGACGAAGTTGACAAGTATGACAAAGACATGTTTAAGTCCGAAAATTTCCCCTTTTATGGGCGGCAGTTGAGCACGAGGCACCTAGTAATCAATGATGGTTACGCTGAGGCCTACATGTTCTTACCTAGGTAGCTTACCTAGAATTCTGCCTGTCAGTCAACCAGGCTGCATAACACTCGTAACCTTACCCCACGAGAGCCAACTCAATATTCTCTCCAGATCCAAAATTGTGTGCACAGCCTCGTTTGGATTCTCTTCCACGACTGTAAAAACATGAGACATGCACGTAAATCAAGTTTGTCTAGGCCGAGGTCTACAGTCTTACAATGTTCTCGAGTCATTTACCATCGTAAACTCATTATGCATGAACACAAGGATTGGGTCGATCAAATAGGCGAGGGCTGTAACCCCATCCATCCATTAAGGAAAATAAAATAATACAATCCGGCAATCGCGCTGGAGCGGAATTTTTTCTTACGGGTTACACAATCACCAACCCCCTGATTTCTTGGACAGAATACTACACACTGGACGTGGTATTTTCATTCCTAGGTACCCAGACAGTGGACGAAAGTAGCGTCGTATGTACATATGCACAACCCTAATAGATCCTGGTTAACCACGTTGGTAGTCTATACATTTCAGAATAAAGTAGATTCCGGGGATGAGCTTGATAAGGCTGTCGAATATGCCCACGTTTATCATCGGGTCTCATAAAAGGCCGCCGGCTGTGCGTATGTACGTACGTCGGACTATCACTGTACCTTGTATATATACTAATAATTACATCTAAACAATAGTGGGTAGTTCTTTCACCGCTTGATGCGCATATATGTAGAGATAAACTTACCATTACGGTCCCAAACTAAACAGGTGCCTCTTGGTAGAACCAACAAAACTGGAAACTTACTCGAACTGTTGAACATGAACATCCAGGAAACCCGAAGCTTATCAATCTTTCAATATATTATTATGGTTGTAAACTAGTGTACAGCTGCCACGTGATGTTGGCTCTCTGAAGTAGGTACATCGCCATGGAGCGAGCACGTTCTAGTGAGGAGGTATGTAATGCTCCGGAAAGTTCCACGACCAATCGTCGATCGCTAAGCTGTATGGGAAAGGTAGATATATGTACCTAGGACTTTTTTACTGAGGGGGTAGGCGGTGTAAGAACTCGAAATCAACAAGGCTGAGGGCCAAGAAGGTCCGATATGTTGATATGCTTTTATCTAGTGTAGTTATCATTACTAGGGTAGATAATCTAAAAGAAGTTAGTACAAGTTCATAATTACACAATTTACCTATGTATAGCCCTATGCACCTAGCATGGTAAATGGAGACCGGCTGTTACGTTCTACAGCCGAAGTCTCAGGTACTTTAGGATGGAGTCCAGACCCATTAAACTTAACATCTGCGTGTGCAGGCGGGAGTTACGGGTTTAGATCCGACGCGTCTATTTGAGCCGCATTTCAACGTCATGTCCCCCTTTTTCTTAATATTAGGGGCTTTAACGCTGTTACCAGTAGTCAACCGCAGGCTACTTCTCCGTGTTATATCTTGCTACTCACTAAGCTTCCTGACATTGTGTATTAATGAATTTTGTTTATTATATAGCTGGAATACCTGTTTTAGCTGCAACACTATACATATATGATTGGTCGGGCGTAAGTCTAACCCCTGACTGAAAAATATCATGTCCGGTGAACGAATAGGTACTTGAACAATTAATAGTCTTGGAACATATCAATGAATCTTGGATAAAATGGCGAAATGGATTCTTATAGACAGTTGAGACTCGATTTATTGAGAAGGTAACACCCAGAAAAGATGCGCGCCCCGTGAAACTTACTTATTTACACACCCTCCGCTCTTTATCATTAACACGTTCAATACCGGATGTCAAACACATACCTTAAGCCCACTTGGCGCAATGGTCAAGCGCTTGGAGGGCTCCCTTTGGTCTCGAAATCAAAGGGAAGCCGGTTGGTTCGAATCCAGCAGTGAGCAACACCCAGGCTTTTCGAAAAAGAGCTCTGAAAGGTGGACCACTCCACTCTATCTCCACGTACGCCACAAGAGGTATCGATCGGCGAATATACGACTCGTTCAAACTACCGATATCGGCAGTGTACTTGGCGATGTTGGGTGGATACGGGGGGTGTCCTAATCGGGTTCGATGGGGAGGAGGATAGTATAGGAGCAGGAATACTGAGGGTGCGGCGTGGAGAGGTGGAGGTTGAGGAGGACACCACAACCGGCGGTGGGGAATTCCTCGTGAGATATAACGCCCGAGGGTGAAAGGGGAGATGTAGTAGTAGTACACACTATTTGCGAACTCCCGGATAACCTGACGGATAGATTTGTTAGATAGGTTGGCCCAAAAGGGCTGTAAAGATTGTATTTATACACCTAGCCTAGCACGCCCTTATGCCCTTCGGGAGGCTTTGTGGATAGCTGCAACGCAGCGGTCCCCCTGGCGTTAAACAATAACAACAACAACAACAACAACACATACCTTACGGCAAATTCATCGACATATTATATGTTTATTTATATATAATCATTACTTATGAGATTTAAATAGCTTTAATGAACACTAACCCAGCCTGGACTCTGAGTTGACCTCCTTTTATACCTAGTGGTAGTTTATATATCCTGCATCTACCCCCAACACAACCCCTTAGTCCCTTCCCAGCGAGAGATTTGATAAGAAAGTGACTAGAATGGCCATATATGCGCATAGACCGACGAGAATGGTATGCAAATTTGTATTGAAATAGGACATCACAGCTACAAAAAGGAACAAGAAGCTAACCACGACCCCAAAAGAACTTGCCTTTGTTAGATTGACGAGAAATAGTATAGCAATTGGCGTGAGTAGTAGCACTCCGCTCACAAAGGCTACTATGACCTTCAAGGAAATGGTCATGAAACGTTGATTTATCTCAATTTCAGGGGCGTGGTCCTGGCCAGGGTTGTTGTGCACCTTTCCGATGAACTTTTTGATGTACTTGCGGGATAGAGAACTGTTAGTAGGAGGGCGTTCCCTCTTGGAATTGATCTCTGATCTTAGATTACAAAAGTAAGAGGGAGAACTACTAACCGACATGATATGGGAGTCCCTAGAGACCAATGGCTCGAAATACTGGTGTACTCGGTCCGTTACCGTAGTGACGAAGTCGTCATTCGAGTATAGGAATTGATACGCAGATTCGTCGAGAGTATGGTACTTTCGGATCTCATCGTGGAATACCCTGTGTTCTCCTCGAGAGATACGTGGTAGTTTCTGCATTTCTTTATCGAGTTGAAGTAGCTCGACTTCATCGCCGCACTCGTTAGCCCACATAGTCGATGCCCTTAACAGAAAAGGATGTAGAACTAACTATAACTCTTTAATCTAAGCACTGTAGCTTCTAAGAGCAGGTCTTTATCATTCCATAGAGGATTTTCTTGCTCATGTTCTTGTTCCTCGGTGCGCGGACTAGGCGGGTGGCGGGTGGTGGCGGGTTGGACTTGAGCCGGAGCTCGAACGCATGTAGTAAGCAGCCGATCGGGATCAAAGGACAATGACTTCAATCTAACGGGGTCGTCCTCTTTATCGAGTTCATCGAGCTTATTCTCGAGGTACGCAAGTTTCGTCTCTTGATCCACGAGGACGCGTTGCATAAGATAGGAGTAGCGTCTATGCAAATTGAAATTGTTATAATACATCTGTGCGGCAGCAATAGAAGGCCACCCCTTAGGTGCTGCATTTTCTATTTGGGAGATTGGATAGGTTAGGTAGGTATTTTAGGTAGGTAGTTGGGTTGTCAGGTATATACGAAACTACTCACTGATGTCGAAATCTCCGCGGAATTTGCTGTGTCCGAGGCTTTCTTCACTTGATGCCCCTAGAAGAATTGTTAGTTATCGACAACCGTTGGGGGTACGTGTGCCGAACCAGGTGGCACTACAGATTGTTCATGGCCACTGTGTCCAGGTGTCGTGTCAGCATGCTGTTGGGGATATCTGGTCTCTTGTTGGATGCTATCCATTTCGTAACCTTCTTCTAAACGCGATGGTGTAGCCATATCTGTAAGAAGGCGGGGAAAGTGAGGATGAACCCATTTTTGGCGGCATAGTCCTAAACAGACACAAGGCTCTATAAATATCTTACGATGGGAGCCTCGTCTTTTCCCTGACCAAGTTGGAAGACACTGGGATTCGTTCTATCGCTCAAGGCCGGGTAGAGAGGTGGTTTTTGCGGCTCTGCAAACTTGGCATACTAGACAAGGTGGGATCAATCCGACAGGGAGGTGCAAAATAATTGGCTGTGCTAGGATTCACATCTGCAGTGGCAGAGCAGAGTAGCGCCCTAGTCCATACCGGTGAGCTACTACATATAGAAATGGCTTCCTCCGTAGTCGGAATGGTGTGAGGTAGTGACATCCCAATATGTTGGTTGTGCTAACGTTAGGAAGCCTATCACCTTCCGGGCACGAACCCTCAATACGACTCCTTATAATGCTATAATATAGGATTTGGGGGTTTGAAGATTAGGTAATTGTCCGCTTGTTTAGTAGAACGTCTGGCGAGATTTGAAGGTTGGGTGGAACAATATTCACAAGCAAGAATAGAATAAGCAGAACGAGATATACGATGCTGCACATTTCAACCTAAGAACTCTATATATGGGCCCATAGATCAGATCAATAACATCGGGGTATTCATGCCAACTATAATCATAAACATTATAGAGTAATGGTTTTGTTATGCCGATAGCCAAATCAAGGTAGACGATAGGACTTTAAGGAGTAATTTCGAGTCGGTTCTCAAGGTAGTTGGTGGTAATTATTCCTTATTTCTAAAGTACTGAAAATATACGTAACCGTCTCAGGGGATTGTGAACTCTTCTAGATGCGTCTTGTATCATGTTGGAGGCATAACAAATTAGAAGGGTGCTGTGCAAACGTACATTGTGAAGTATGCCATATCGGAGCCTAATATTTCTGTATTTCGCCCAAGAGTGAAGTACAGAGTCAGCCTTTGAAGTAGTTACATATATAGAGAGTTGGGAGCAAATCTAGGGCTAATAGATGTGGTGGTGTCTGCCTTCCCCTTGGTGGTTCGTGCGTTGATGTTGTTGATCGTGATTGCGTGTGGCCCTGCAAATACGCCCCCCAACGTTATTACCTAGGCTGCCAGGTACCGGAACTCCTTAAGCCGCGTTCTCCAATATAAATAATAACCAGTCCCCAGCCGACTACCTCTCCCAGAGTTCAAATCTATTTATATATCTATTCTTTTGGGAGCCCCGATTATTTGCGACCTCATCCTCAATTCTGAAATCATGGTACTCAGGGCAAGGATGGAGATAACCCAGACTCCTCTCCGCGAATATTTTCATGTAATATATTTGACATATGAAAATGCTTTTGGTTATCAGGGGGTAGCCTCCTTCACCGATCCTCATATCAAAATGTAATAGGTCTGTATGTATCTATGATCCTTCCCCCTCATTCGTTCCTAACTTACTACCAGCCGGCTTCGCACTCATTTAAGACCGCGACAAGCGCACAAATTAGGTATCTAGGATAACGATTCTAACCTCTATTCGTTCAAGTATGGATGGCACTAAAGCACGTCTTGGAGATGCTAGCTTCCAAGCTTCCTCATCTGCACTGCACCCGCCTCGAATGACATACTGATGCCGAAACCTTATTCGATGCCCGGGTTATCTTATACATCCCTCTTGGAGTAACTGTATACCTAGGTACCCCAGGTATTTCCAATCTGGTAACCACTTGCAGCTACCTACGGGGTCGTCGGCATGGTAAAGGTTAGAGAGCGCCACTAGGTCCACTACACTTTACTATGAAAAGTATGTACTTTTCCACATAATTAGTATGAGAAGATACAATTAGATTATGGCTACGCATAGTACTCCTCTAATCTTAACCAATTTTGGTAAGGTTATACTAATATTTACACAGCCACATACTCCAAACGTACTTTCCCATACAAAATACGTAAGAGAATACATACTTTTTATGGTAAAATGTAGTGGACCTAGTGGCGCTCTCTAACCTTTACCATGCCGACGACCCCGTAGGTGACCAGTCGAACCACCCAGTATTAGACTTCCCCGGATTCCATTCCCAGCCCAGCGGAACCACCCACTTAGCCTCACAGGTTAAAAGTGGGTCGCATACAACTTCAAGTCTCTTCGACTCATTCCTCTCTCTGGGAAGAAAGGAAGTCAGCGAAGTTGAATTCATTACTGCATTGCAGTTAGCAAAGAAGCCAAACAAGCTGTCGAGTTATCATCAGGTAGCGGGGAATTCCGTTTAGCGGAGCACAGGTACCGTTGTACCTGGTCTGAGCGCCCTCGCAGACTGGTACAGTCGGAGAGATACCAACGAAGCCAATATGCCATTATCAAGACAACTTCCAGCATATTAGGTCGGCAGGACAATGTCACGGAATTTGGCATGGCCGACTTAATTATATGGAAGCACGTCCAGGCAAATTGATGACGTCTTCAAGCATGATACTGAAAGAGGGTCTACGAGCGCTTCATTGTATCCTCCAGCTGGTTCTGACTATGCGGGGGAAATGCATGGCTATTTGGAATGGGACTGCGTTTAAGAAGTGATTGCCGTCGGGCCTCACTATTTGACCTCAGGATTGCTTGCTATACTTGGCACGTAATGATTACTATCCGTCATTACTTTAAAGTCAATTGGAGAGACGGGGTTCATGGGGGGGTTGGGTAGGTTCATGGCTTAGGCGGGCGCACGTACTGACCAGCCACCCAACGCACACCGAGATCTCATCTTCAAGGGTTCCTCTACTTCTAAACAAATCTTGTGCCCCCCCCGCATCACGCAAGACCTTACTGCCCCTTCCCCGGTATTCTCAACAACTTTTTGAATCTTCGCTTGTCAAGCTCGGGGATATTCCACCGGATACTCAAGTGGTGAAATAACTGGGTCCGAGGCATTCTCCATTGCGACCATTTGTACCAA